CCGAGCCGTGTCCGCGGGGTCTGTAGGCATGGGCTGTTCTCAGCGCTGATTCAGGCAGGTGCACAAGGTGACATGCAGTTCTCTGCCCACACACCTCTTCCTCCGGGAATACATGACCATTCGCCTGCCCCGAAGGCTCGGGCTTGCACTTCCCGACAGCAGTGGCCGTTTACCAAACCGTTTGTTTGCCGTAGCCAGGTCTACCGAGCTGGCTGTTTGACAGGATGATATGCTCCTGCCTTGCACAGAGGCTGTTATTTCTAAATCTTTTTTTTTTTTTCTGCTCAGGTGTAAAACTTCTCTTGCATGGTCTTTGCTCCAACACCACAGTCAAATCTTTGGATCTGAAGGTGAGTCTGTTCAAATTGAATTACAACAAAGTGGTGGAGAAGGAAGGAGGAGCACAGGCTTATCAGAGTTAGAAATGGACAATCCTGGTGCAGGATTGTTCAGCAAGATGTATAGTTCTATAAAATTCCTGTTCTCAAGTAACTTATTACTTGCCTCCTTAACACCATGTCACGACTTTGCAGTTCATCTTTAGGATGATAGACAGTCATTGCTGTATGTCTTTTGTCAGTTGCTGCTTGGTCAGATGAGGCATATGTAGGGTTTTGGAGTGATTTGGGTATTGATCAGTGAGTTACTAGCTGTTTGACTTGTGCTTCTGTAGAGTTTATCCAGCTTGCCAATGCCTTTCAGCTAGTCTGGGTTTGGAACTAAGCATCTGCCTTCAGATGTGATGGTCACTGTACTGAGAGAGTGACTTTGGCATACAGTCACAAACTGCATCACACCTTACTCATTTGTGCTAGTGCTTACTGAGCTCTTTCTAATAAAATGTGTTGGAATGGTTCTGCTTACCTAGAATCACCATTTTCTGTCCCATTGTGGCCCATACAGATCCTGTGTTATCCTGTGGCTTTTGCAAGCTCTCACTTGTGGCTCCTCACAAGACCAGTGGTGTGTATGGGCCCAGGGTTCCTCCAGGGTTTTTCATTTTGTGGGAAGCTGACTGATGTGTGAAACAAATGGTGCTTGGTCCATCTTCATCTGACTGAAATCGGCAATACAGTTGGGGTGCATCTGGTGGTGTTTGATGGGGTAGGTGGACTGGGACAGGCATAGCCTATTGACCACCTGGGACTTCTGTTTCAGGGAAATAACCTGCGAACCGTGGGAGCTGAGGCTTTGGGAAAACTTCTTAGGCAGAACAAATCCATCAGGAGGTAAAAAATTGTATCTACCTCTCTTTCTGTTATTCCTGCCAGATGGAGCACAGCAATTGAGGAGGGTTGAGGGCATTTTTTGTTGGGGTAGGAGGAATGTCAAGTGGTGTAATTTCTTGTGAGGGATGGGACAGGTGAAGGAGTGAGAACTGGAGGTGCCCTTTTAGAGGATGCAGAGCCCTGGCAGCATGCTGCTCTCGAAACCGAGTCCGTTCATGGAGCTGGGTGTTTGACCGGGTACCACGATCCATCATTCAAGGTTATGCAGTTTACTCCACGAACTCCAATCCTGTCTGTTTTCCGTAGCCTAACCTTGGAATGGAACAGCCTTGGCATGTGGGAGGAGGGCTTCTCCTTTTTCTGCCAAGGACTGGGAGCGAACAACTTTCTCCAGCGGTTGGATCTGCGCAATAACCAGATTAACCATCAAGGGGCTGCAGAGCTGGCCATGGCACTGACACAGAATGACAGCCTTCAGGAGCTGGGTGAGTGTTCTTTGCCCGTGTAAGTGTATGCACACACACACATATCTTCAGGTTCTATGCAGCCTGCTCCAACATCTGCCAACTGGTTTGTGTCATTCCCAATTCCTGCCACTCTGGAGTGCATTGCCAGCTTTGTGCAGGGAGAGGTACAACCTCATGGTTTGTGAGAGGCAGACTTGTGTAGATTTTGAACTTAATGGCTTCCTTTACTAAAGATTTATCCTTGCATTTCCTGCTTTGTCTTTCACTTTCCCTCCCTCTCATTCATCTTGAAAAGGGAGACAGTATTGACCTGTGTTTGTGCTAAGAGAGCCTGGGATGAGTTAACCATGCTCGTAGTTGTATAAGGAGCATGGTTTCTCTTGAGCTCTCTGCTTTTCAGCAAATAAATGGCTGTCACAGTGAACGTTTGCTCTCTGTGTAGATTTGCGTTGGAATAATATTGGACTTCTGGGTGGCCGAGCTCTGCTGAACTGCCTGCAGAGCAACAGGACCCTGAAGAAGCTGGAGCTGGCAGGGAACAACGTTCCTGGTGACATCCTGAAAGCTGTGGGTAAGTATGATGTGTTATACAGTAAAGAATCACTGACTCCTTTCCCAGTTCAGCACTTGAGGGATATAGGGCACTTGCTGTTCCAGAAGAGAGCTATTCCTCCTTCCCTCCCTTTCTCTACAGTATTTCCACAGTGCCCTACATGCTTATGCAGCATGTCTCATGTCATTATCCTGCCCACAGCAGTCGAACAGCTTTCCTGTGGCTAGGGTGTTGATTACCCCATGCACACACTGCTCTCTTCAATCCCACCCCACCTTGTGATGTAAAGTGAGAGGTCTCTCTACATGGACCAGCCTAAGAAGGGCAACTGTTCTGATGCTTCTGATAGCCAAGTGTCATCCTGAACGCTCTCTCGTCCTGCAGTGCCTGCTGTTCTATTGCTTTAGAAACATGTGCATGCTCTTCTGCTCTCTCTGCATCAGAACAAGCCTTGGATCACAACAGAGACCGTGAGACTATCCTGAGTGAGGCCCAGAACCAAGTATCCATCCTCAGTAAGGAGGTGATGAGTCTGAAGGATGAGAAGAACAAGCAGGTGAGCAGTCTTACACGTTGGCCATTCAGGTGGGGCAGCTGGAATCCTTTGCTTTCCCTCGGGGTCCCCATGGAACACTTTGTGACAGGGTTATTGTGCACCTGAAGTGGCACTTGCATCTTTACGGGCAAGCACACAGCATGGTTTAGTACACTGAGTCCTTCCTCTGAGCTAGGTTGCCCAGGAATCAAGTCTA